GGCCTATGTTCCCGCGACGATAAAGTTAGGGGTGGAGGAATAAAGGGAATATGGAGACGGAAAGACTACGTGCGCGCGCGATAGGGGTGGTGGTGAATTTATATTTTGCCACCTTCCAGGAAAGATTTTTAGCGACATAGCTGGAGATAGAAGCCTTAGCTTTATTGCCGCCGATTACAAGGAAAGATGATTAGAATGAGAAATGTTCCTGCGGCCTCTCAGAACTTATCCTCCAACTGGTAGCTTACCTGTATTCTAGGTTTGATTACATTCGAGCATAACTCTAGGCACTTGCTACACTAGATAAAAACCGTTCCTATTTTTGTTGTGGTAAGTTGTGCCATATTAGCAATACGAATGCTGTGCTAAGATGAAGTGATCCTGATGAATTCTACTGGGGAGGCTTGACAGAAAAGATAGTTTTCATTGGGTACCAAAGTTAATGTAATTTACCTTGCGGTTTGCAAAATGCTTTTATATCGTATGCTACTTTGCAACCTGGTACCTCCTATACCTCTCATAGCAAATGTCCACTGAGAAAGTTTTGTGGATTAGGTGGACCTCAAAAATTGAGTACATTTGGGGGAAGTCATAGCAGTGGCAGGGCTTCCCATGCTAACGGAGCAGCATGAAGTGGACATGAGGAGGAAATTGTTCAGTTTTCTTTAACCCTAGAGCCATAGAAAGGAATTGTAGAAAGTGTATTGAAAAGTGGATTTGGGTGCATTATGGAGGGTCTTAAATGCTAGTTTTAGTACTTTGCCTGTGGACAGTCATTTAATAAATAATGAGTACCTCCTATATGCCAGGGATTATGCTATGTGCTGGGTTTAAAGTAGTAATAAAAACAGATGTGTGTCTGCCCTAATGGGATTTATAGTCTAGTCAGGGAGGGAGATAATAAGTAAATAACATAATTTATATATTGAGTAAGGGCTGGGGTGAAAGTGGGGGCTGGGAGGATAGAACCTTTTAGACTGGGTAATCAGGGAGTGCCTTTCTGAGGAGATTGCAATTAAACTGAGATCTAAATTATGAGGAGCTAACCATGTGAGGAGTTTGGGAAAAAAGAATGTTAGGCAGTAGGAACAGTATTTGTGGAGGCCCTAAGATGGGAAAGAGCTTGGTGTATTTGAGGGTTACAACATCTAGCAAAAGGGGAAATGAGGAAATAAGTGAAAGGCATAAAATGATGTTAGAGAGGTAGATAGGACTATATGCGATATGAAGGACCCTGGATTTTAGTCCAAGTGCAATGGGAAGCCATTGAAGGATTTATACACCAAAGTCATAATTAGGTTTATATTTTAAAGATGATCCCATAATGGTTATATGGTGGTTTACTTTATGAAAATCTAAGTCTACAGCTATGCCACCCTGAACATGCCTGATCTCGTCTGATCGCGGAAGCAAAGCAGGGTTGGGCCTGGTTAGTACTTGGATGGGAGACCACCTAGGAATACCAGGTGCTGTAGGTATTAATAAAAAGTAAAGAAAATCCATCAAGCTCTCCATTTATGATGTGTGCACTTTATTGAATGTTATACTTCAAAAAAAGTTTAACAAAAACCTGGCTGCTGTATGGATAATGGTTGGGAGGAGAGTTGAGGTTTCTAGTAGTCCAGGCAAGAGGTGATGGTGGCTTAGACCAGAGGTCCCCAACCTTTTTGGCACCAGGGAATGATGCTCCTATGAGAATCTAATGCCTGATGATCTGAAGTGGAGCTGAGGCGGTGATACTAGTGCTGGGGCTGCAAATACAGATGAAGCTTTGCTCACTTACCTGCTATTCACCTTTTGCTGTGTAGCCCAGTTCCTATCAGGCCATGGGCGGTACCAGTCCGTGGCCCTGGCGGTACCAGTTGGGGACCCCTGGCTTAGACTAATGAGGTAGAATAGAGGGGATTGGATGAATTTGAGATATATATTGAAGGTAGGATTGACAGTTGGAGATGGATTGGATGTGTCAGTTAAGGCAGAGAAGAATAACCTCTAGGATTCTGCTTTGAGCAGTTGATGGTAATTTATTGAAATAATCAAAATCATAGCAAATATTTACATAGTCCACACTATGTGCAGGTATAGTTTTAAGTGCTTTACATATACTAATTCATCCTTGTAACAATTTATGATTGACTATTATTTTTTTCTCATTTTATAGATGAGAAAACTAAAGGAAAGGCAGAGATGGGTAAAATGGGTAAGAATAGGTTTCAGAAATATTAGGCAATGAGGAGCTGTTGAAAGTTTTTGAATGAAGAGATAGGAATCAAAGTTCTTTTAAGATGTTTCTGGTGACATCTTTTTGATACAATCCACCTCTGTCTTCTGAGAGTTGTAGTTGGAATGGGTTTTTCAACCTCCCTATCCTTCCATCCCCTTATGATTTGCTTAATTTGGGTAGGCCATAATTACAGAATTACCAATTCTGTAATTGTGTATGGTTAGCAATTCGGTGTTGAAGTTTGAGGAATAGGTCAAGGCTAGAGATAGATAAAGTCATATGGTTAGGAAAGATAATTGGACCTATGAAATTGTCAAAGGGATAATGTAAAGAAAATGTGAGTATAGAAGTTTAAATATATATATATTAAGTTTATATATATTTAAATATATATATATTGCTATTCTCTCATTCAAATACTATCCTATATCTCTTCTCTTTTCAGCCGTATTTTCTTGTGGAGTTATCTATAACTCCTGATTTCATTTCCACGCCTCATTCATCCTCAAACGTCTGAAGCATGGCTTTTTCCTTCATATCTCTACTTATGTTCTCAACAGTGACATCAAAGACCTTTGTGTTGCTAAATCATTGGACACTTTTCAACCCTTCTCTATCTCTATGGCAACTGACTACTACATTATTCATTCATCAAATTTCGGAGTGGGAGGCTAGGTCTCAAAGATAGGAGAATGAACAGACTAATATAGTTCCTACTTCCATGGAGCTCTAAAAGCCCCCTTAAACGTTCAAACTGTCTCCTTTCCTCTACTTCTCTGACTACTCCACAGTCCCTTTGGAATTTTGGTTTCCTCAGCTTCTGCCCCATGCTCTCTCAACACATTTTTAAAAGACTTTTAGAGCAATTGTTTTAGGTTCACAGCAAAATCGAGGGGAAGGTACAAAGATTTTGAGGTTGTGGTTAACAAAAGAAACCTTTGTATAAGCACACCTATTACATGCTAGGCGCTTTACATATTTTATACTGGTTAAGATTCACAAACCCAAAAGAAGTCATTTGAGACTTCATTTCACAGATAAAAGATTAAGGTTGACGAGACATTAAGTAACTTTCCCAGTCACGTGCAGGGCAGAGTTTTGAACTCAGATCTGATACCACCAGTCTTTTTCCTTGCACCACTCTCTTCTAGTCCCACTGCCATAGTTCTGGGCTGATCACCATTGTCCACACTCCTGAACTGGCCTGGGAAATAAGCAGAGTTGTTTTTTTTTTTTTTTCTTTAAGAAAGGAGCAGTGTATTTCACCCTCTCCGTGTAAGGTTTTTAGAGAACTGTGCGAGGAAACATTCAGAGAATGTCAGCTTGTTTAACATATCCCTTCCGCTAGACACTGAACATCATCTGAGCCGCCGGTCTCAGTTCTCTTCCCGACGTATCAAATAATCCTTCCACATTCAAGGCGAAAGAGATCACCTACTTTTGGTTCTCCCGCGCGCGGGAATGACGTCACGCGGAGAGGTTATCTGTCGCCAGAGTTTCCTGTCCACCATCTTTGTTCCTGGCAAAGTGAGTTTTGCGCAGTGGCTTAGACCTGGAAAAGGAGCCGTGACGTGCAGGAAACCATTACAACACCACTCGGGCCGTGCTCTCTGGCTGCTGCCGCCACCCCCCGCCCTTGCCTCCGGTGAGTTAAAGCCGGCTAACTTTGGGGTGTGTCTCTCATTGATGGGGATGGGGGAAACTCTAGGATGGGTTGCAGGCGGGCAGAAGAGAGGAAATCCTAGGAGCGTGACCGTTGAGGATGGAGTGAGCCCGTCGGGTGTGACCGTTGTGAGGAAGAGGGTTGACGAAAAGGATTCCACCGCTGTAGCGGGTGAGGGAATCCTCGGGTGTGGCAGCTGGGAGCTGGGGGAGACCGGGGATGGGGATAGATATGATCGAAGTTAGGGGGTTAGGAACGACAGCGGCCAGGGGTGTGGCGGGTAGAGGCTGAAGGCCGAGGAGTGAACCAACCTTCTCAGCTTGGCGTCGTTCACTGAGAGCCTGCGACATGTCCAGCTAGTAAAGGGGAAACGGGATTCCCTCAAAGATTTGCCCATTGATAGGCAAAACTCGCTGGTCTCCTGTAATTTGAGATTAAGAGACACCTCTTCCCCACCTTGTAATGGAGGAACAAATCCCTAGAATCGTGACCACCTGGGAAAAGAACAAATTCCTTATGGGGAGGGAAGACGAACCTCCAGATCTGACCTGATGTGAAAGAGGGAGAAGCAAGTCGGGGTA